AGTGGTTACTAGGGATTAGGGATTAGGGGTTAGGGAGAAAGTTTGATTATAAAGCACACAAGGAAGTTTTCTGGGGTAATGGAAATGTTCTGAACCCTGATTATATAATGGTGGTTGCACAAATCTATACATATGTTCAAACTTTTAGAAATGTACTATGAAAAAACATTTTATCACATTTCATCACATGTAAATATAAATAATAAAATAACCATTTGATATATAAAGAAATATATAAATATAACTTATTTCTGTGCATATATATCTGTATACAGACATGTGTGTACAAATGCACATAATCTAAATTCAAGAATCACTACAGGGATTGTTCATAATTTTGGCCACCAACAAAAGGTTTTTGTGGTGAGTAATATTTTATCTCTGAGAATGTTTAAAACTGCTGGGCTATGGTGGTAATTAAAAAAGCAGATCAACTTGTAGTCAGTATTATTTTAGTTTTAAATTCTCTACAAACAATGCACCCTTTCACTGCCTACTCTGGAAAGACTGGCTCCCACCACCACAACTCTGGTATGACACTCTGTTCTGTGTTTCTGAAATGAAAGTGCCTGGACATAAAGAAACTGATCCTGGAAGCTGGAAATCATTGAAATGAAAGGTCCACGTGATATGAGTGGGAATCTACAGTGTCTGCTATAAATAACCAAATCCTGGTTTGAATGAATGAATTGTATGTATGTATGTGTGTGTCTATGTATGCATGTATAAATAAATAAGACCCCAGTGGGGCAAACTGGGTAAATCTTAATGTGTACTGAGTAGTAGGTGATATAAAAGAATTGTTTTTAATATTGACAATGTATTAATGATATTGTGATTTTGTAAGAAAATGTCTTATGTTTTAGAGATACATACTGATATATTTCACAGTGAAATTTCAGTGTCTGCAATTTAGGTTCAATTTTCAAATAAAACATTAGGCAAAACAACTATGGTGAAATGTTAATAAGTATTAAAGTTGTGTGATAAGTATATAAGGATTTATTATACTCTTCTACTTTTTGATGTGCTTGAAATTTTTCATAATAAAAGGTTTTCAAGATAAAAAATGCATCAGAAAATCCCAGAAATACTGAGTCTCTCAGTGCTCGAGCCAGTGAACACTCACTGTACTATCATAGCCCTATCAAGATACATCCCAAGATGAAGTTAAAGTTTCAGAGAGTAGAGGGCAGGGACAAGTTGACAGGGACCTGTACGGGTGGGCAGTCTGAAGCTTAAGTTCTACTGGTGTCACAATAAATACAGGGACAGGCTGTCCATGGTCCTGCTCCAAGACAAAGACCACTACAGGTGCAAAATATTAAGGGAATGATTTTAAGAGGCCAGCTTTCTTGGCATGAACAAAAATGGTGAGAGGCAGAATGCGAATGTCTGGTGTTTCAACACCCCACCTCCAGGCCCATGGCCTCCACTAAGGGAGTCCTGTGGCCTCTGGTGAGGCAGGGACAGTGCTTTTCACTCCATTCCTCCCAAGGCACTGCTGCTACCCACTTTCTGGTTCTTTCTACCATTTGGGGTCCATACCTAGAGGCTCTATAAGCCCCTCAAATTTTACATGTTGAACACTGAACTTTTTCCCCACCCTCCAATCTTGTCTCTGCCCCAGGGACCCATGATTCTGTCACCCTGAATGAGTCAACCAGCCCAGACACCTGGGGGTCGACTGTGAGCCCTCCTCCTGGCTTATCTCTGCATCTGGTGAAGACTGGGGAGCCTGGCTCTTCGCTCCCTGTCCTGCTCCCACTGATCACTTTTTGGTGCTGCCATCTCTCATGGCTCTTCCTCAGAGGGGCTAGGCCTCCCCCTAACAATCTATGCAAGTATCCTCAGGCAGTGCTGCCAGTACCTTCACTCTGAAACCCAGGCTCTCATCCGGGATCTTAAGGTTCCCCATGACCTGACCTCTGACCTCTGTTAAACAACACAGCCTGTCCCCACCTCCTCCTCTCTACCTGCTCCTCCAGAAGAACCCTTCACTCCCTCACCACTTTGCTGCCACGGATCACAACGCTGCCCTTCACCAATGCCTTCAGGACTGAGCTGCAGCCTCCCCTTTCAGAAGCATCTCCAGAACCCACACTCTGCCATCTGATGACCCTTCCCTGTGGCCCTTTGTGCTGGACAGGGCATCTCCCATAACCTGTGATGCTTTAAAGATTTATAAGTGCAAACTGATCCAATCACCAAATCCCTCTGAGTTGTTTCCTCTGTGAAATGGGACAACACCCACACCAAAGGATCTGAGAGTTACAATAATAAACGCCTAGTGAGTGGGCACTGAGCTGCGAGCTTTCACACTTTATCTCATTTAATCCTCACAGCACCCATAGAGGCACATAGCACTATCAGTTGTCTTCATGGAGAGTGAGGTGAGATGCCCTGCCTTTCCCTGGACAGACCTCCCTGACCCCTGGGTCACTGATCCCTGCACCTCCTTGCCCACTCAGTTGTCCCCTTCCCCCTTACACACTGAGTTCGTTGAGGGTAGACATGGTGCAGGCCTTCACACCTGTGTAGCCCCAGCTCCTAGAACTGGGTTGGGCATACAGTGAGTACTTAGTCAATATTTGCTGACTGAAGTAATCGTGAATGAATAAACCTAGCCAGCGACAGAGCCTGGAATGGAGTTCTTGGCTCTTTCTCAGCCCCTGAGCAGGATCCTGTGTAGAATGTGCTTATAGCAGAACCAGGCATACAGTAGGTACTCAACAGTATGTAGCTGCTGCTGTTGTTATGGAGAAAGAGGGGCGGGATACTTTTAAAAAGACTGCTACTCCGGTGAGGCTGCTCAGCAGACAGGGCTCCCCGACAGCGATCCAGGCCCTGGGGCTCCCAGGGCCCCAGCCAGGGTTGGCTCCAGCAGTCCTAGGGTAGATTTGGGAAGTGAGCATGGACAGCAGAGGTCAGGAAGGGAAATCCCAACCTACCTTTGGTTCCCCGCAGAAAAGATGTGAGGCTGCCGCCGCTGTCCTCTCCACCGTGGGTGCCAACACCGCCGGCAACCGGGAACCCCACGCTCCTCGCAGCGCGGATTCCAGCGGAGCTCAGGCCCCAGCCCCTCCCTCCAGCTGCTGAGGATCCCGGGACCGGAGACTCCTACTCTTCGCCCCCCCACCACTGCCACCTAGCAACCCGGCTTGAGAGTCCTGGGTTCTTTTTCTGGCTCCTTAGAGCTTGGATGTGCAACCGTGGGCGGGTCACTGTCGGTCTCCGAGCCTCAGTCTTCCTGACTGCGCAACGGGCAGTGGGGCAAGGACGTGCGTGGGTGGAGGGCCTTGCCAGGTGTCTAGGCTGTGACTGACCGCCCTAGTTTTACATCGCCTGACGGAAGGAGAGGAATCTGGGAACCCAGTTACTCCACCTCCCTCGAACTTCCACCAACCGTTCTTTGATTCATCAACCACTCTGCGCGCCACCAAAGATGCTCGCAGCCCAGAGCTGAGGCCGCAGCCTCTCTGGGCGCTAGGGGAAGCAATTGCCTCCCTCTCGGCCGCAGGAGTACACGCGAGGGGGTTTCTGCAGAGCCCCCAACATCGACCTGCAGAGACCACTCCATGAGGGAAGAAGGAGTAGGCCACCGGGGCAGTGGAAGGGAGAGGAGATACAGAGCTCCCCTGGGGTTTGAACAAGTCCCTAAGCCACTCTGGACCTCAGTTTCTTCTTCTGTAAAATTGAGCCCATAACACTGTGTTCTCCCGGGTAGGCTGTGAGGATTATTACTTGAATAGTAATTTTGCATCTGTGAGGCTCCGGGCGTTTCTGAGTAGTTAATGCGGGCGCACAGGCCACCCCTTCACGTACGGCTTGAGCACTCGCAGGACCCAGGGAGCTCTGGGTGACCCAGTGTAGGCCCCTCCTGAAACCGGGAGACCCAGACCCACCTTACGTTCACGGTGGGTAGGGCTGGCGGCCAAGGCCAGGAAGGGGGCGACCGGACCCCAGGCTTCCGCAAACCTGAGTGGGAGGCGACCGAAGGAGGGTGAGAGGGCGCTTGGTTTAGGGCGACAAAATTCACACTTCGAGAAGCTCCCGCGCGCTTTCTCCCGCCGTCGTCTCTTCTAAGTAACTCTTCCCTCTTTTCTTTTGCTCTCTCCCTCTTCCTTCCTTCCTATCTTCAGTCTCTCTCCCGCCCCATGTCTCTCTTGCCCCCTTCTTTCTCCTCTCGCTCCTTCTCCCCCCCACTTCCATCTCATCGTCACCCCAGCACTTTATAACCAAACAGCCAAACCTCTTTCCAATTAAAGTGGAATTAGGCAACTCAATCAAATTAGCTCCCTATTAAAGCCCTCCTTTATTAAACCGTTTTCTTGTCCTGCTATTAAGTTTCACCGCCTGGCGGAACTCGAGCCGGCCCCAGAAGTTTACCTTGGGATGTCGCCGGGCTCAGCCTAGGGGAGGGGGCACCCCGTTTCCCGGGGAGGAGGCGTCCCCCTGCGGAGAGCGGTACCGACCGCGGGAGGTCAGAAGAGATGGTTCGCGCGAGTAAGGAAGCAACAGGGGTGCCGAGTGAGGTCTGGCGAGGGCAGCACCCAGCATCCCCACCACCCAAATATAACTCCCAGGCCGCGAGCCTCGGTGCCAGAAGTAGCAGCCATTCCTCCCCAACAGCCTCCGCCGCCACCCTTGATTCTAAACCCGAGAAAGGGGCGCTCCGTGTGCGACCCGGCTGCGCGCAAATCTGCGCTACGGGCGGCGGGGAGTACAGGAACCAGGCGGCAAGTCTCGCAGGTCCGCGTACCAGCGGGTCAGCGGGCGGGGAAGGCGAGCAAGGCCACAGGCCGTGGCCCGCGCGCGCGGGCCCGGTGTGGGAGGACACGGCGACCCAGATGCGCAGCGGACGCCGCTCCTGTCGCCGGGGCCCTCCTAGGCGCCACGGGAAGTTTCCTCGCTTCTCCCAGCCTTGCCGCCAGAGCTGGAAATCAAGACCTTTTCCATCAGGCTTTCCAAGGACAAGGCCAGAATTCGGTGTTGTTTTCTTAGAAAATAACATTTATTTCTAGCTCATATCTATGCAAAGGAAAGCACAAAGTGAGCCATTATCTGCAGCAGCGTTTCCGGCTGCGGGCCCTTCGTGCCGAAGCATTGGGCGAGTCCCGGAGGCAAGGTTGGGCCCTCGGGCGGGAAGTTCTGGCTCAGTCACACGTCGCTCTGTTCCTGCTTCAGTGCCCACCTTGACCGCTCCTTCGGAAGAGATTGGCCGCGGGCAGGAGGGGCGGGTAAGCAGGATTCGTCCCGAGTTTACAATATATTTAATCTATAAAACCTCATCAGTACAATGTGCGCATAGCCTAATTTTTTTCCTTTTCCTTTTTTTTTTTTTTTTGCTGTTTTCGAATATTTTTCACGTTAATATCGAGGTCACCTACAGATTACAATTAATAACTTAGAATTCCATTTTATAACATTATACACTGGCTTGTATATATATATGTATAGATTATATATAGATTTATACATATATAAAAACTCACACTGCACCAAGGAAACCCATGCTTATCGGCATAAGCAACAAAGAGAGCGACAAATACCGCAACGAGGAAAGTGCACCTTAGAACTTGTTTCCTTTTTTTTTTTACAATTGATATTGATATATGTCCCAAAGACTCGACTGTGCCAAGAGATGTATAGATTCTAAATTTGTATTTGTTAGAGCAAATATTTAAAAATTTTTAAAGGGGTGGGGTACACAGAAGACAGACTCTTGGACTATCCTGCCAGCCGTTTGAGAGCGCGGGCGGGCGGGATGAGCATAGTAAAAGGAGAGGCAGGAGCGTGGGCAGGGCCGCACCCTCTTAATTCTCAAGAAATGTGTGGCCTTCTGAAGGGCTGGAGGAGCCTTGAGATGGGGATGGGGGAATGAGGACCCCGGCCGCGCACTCCTCCTTCCGAGTACATTTGCAACTGTAGCTGCTCCTTTGCTCAGCTCTCCCCACCCACCCTCCAAAACAAAACCTAAAACCCCCTTGGAGCAGGAGGACCCCAGCCGAGGCACTCTGCAGAGCACACACCAGGCCAAGTGGGTCCGGCGGCCCGAGGGGACAACGCTGGGGTTCCAGTTTGGGGGCCGCTCGGCAGCCGGACCCCTCGCCCTACTGCTTCTCAGGGGTGCCATTGATCATAGGCCCGTACATGCCGCCGCCGTAGGTCGGCTCCTTGTGCACAGCAGCGGCGGCGGCCGAGCGGTCGCGCATGAGGTCGCTGAAGGCGTAGTCCATGGGCGGGCGGAAGCCCAGTGTGGGCACCAGGCCGGCGGTGGAGTAGGGAGCCATGAAGGCCAGGCCTCGGCTGTGCGCCGCCGCCGCCGAGTAGGCCAGGCGCAGGGGACTGAGGCTGAGTGGCGCGCCCAGTGGATAGGCGCCCGCATCGGCGCCGAAGTGACTGGCGTTAGGCTGCAGCGGCGAGAAGGCCGAGCGGCTGCTCAATGAGCCGAGCGCCCCAGGAGCCATGGCGCCCGCCAGCAAAGGTCTATGATGCGGAGGTGCGGCGGGGCCCGCCTGCAGCGGTGCCGGCAGCCCGGGTCCCCCGGCAGCAGAGTCGACGCGGCCTGGCCAAGCGTCGTCAGCAGCTGCTATTGCACCCACCGCGGCCTTATCTGGGGGCGTGGTGGGACCGAGGCCGGCCGCCAGGCCCCCGCGGTGGTGGTTCAGCACCTGCTCGATGGCCTGCACTACGTCGCCGCCGCAGCCCTGCAACACCAGCTCCAGGACGCCTCGTCGGTGGCCTGGGAAGACGCGCGTCAAGATGTCCAGCGGCGTCCGCTGCCGTGGACCCGGACCGCTGCCCAACCCAGGCGCGGGCGCGGCTTCTGCCTCCTCTTTATCAGCCTCGGAACCGGATTCGGAGCCCAGAGGGCTGGAGGAGCCCGGGCTGTCCTCCTCGCCGCCGCCTCCTGGGCCGGCACTCCCTGAGCAGCTGCCACCTGCCTCTTTGGAGGCCCGGGCCAGCGGCGACCCCGAAAAAGATTCGCCATCGCCGTTCTCCGAGCCCGAGCCTGGCCGCACCTCTGGGGACGACGTCCCAGGACCTGAGTCGGCGCCGTCGGGTGACAAGGGCTTCCCCGGCGGCGGCTGGGGGCTGCCCGGACGGCCTGCCTGAAGCAGCGTCTTGGGAAAGATGTCGAACTTCTGTAACTTGGCCTCTGAGAGGGGAAAATGGAGGTGTGAGAAGAGGTTAGGAGCCAGCGACCGCAACCACAGCAACCCAGCTGGATCCCAGTTTCCCTTCTCTCTGAGCTCCACGACCCTCATTCACTGGGCTCCTGTGCCCCTCTTTCAGCTCCAGCATTCCTTCCTCTCGTAGTCCCTACAGCCCTGTCTCTTCCCCTGCCCCCAGGGTGCGCTCTTTCTGTACTCAGAATTCCAACCACCTGTGCCGTGGAAACTTAATATCCGGCGCCCCTCTTCCTACATCTGTGCCCCAACACCTCCACCCCTTGGCCCCCTTCCTAGCCCTGTCCTGTCCACAAGCAGTGCCGTAGTCCAGGGTTCAAGCAGGTACCAACATACCTTCCACCTACACCACACACCGTACAGAAGCCCCCACTCCCGCCTCTGTGATTTAAAAGAGCCAGATCAGCCCTGGGTGCCTCCTGACCCTGGGCAGCATAGCTCCCAAGCCCTTCTGCAGGCGAAAGTAGAGCCCCTATTTCTAATCCATGCTTTCCAAAATTAGGACCTAAGAAGTTCTTCCCTCCCAAGCTGAGGGCCGAGAGGGCCCCTAACAACCCCGGCCTTAATTTCTTTCCTCCCCAGGAAAGCTCAGTGAGTCTTGAGGAGGGTGTGGCCAGGCAGGGAATGGAGAGAGGAGAGGAGAGGGGATCGAGGTCAGCGAGGCTGCGCGTACTCTGAGAAAATGGGGACAAGCAGGGGAAGACGCTAGAAAGGAGGAGCAGGGGGCAGCATGCTGTTGGGAAGAATTAAGAACATAAAAGGAATCACGCGGGGAAAAGAAACGAGGTATCTTCAATACCTAGAGAAAGAACTGCGGGGCGGAGCAGGGGTCTTGGACAGGGACAGGTTTCTGAAGAGAGTTGGGAAGTAGTAGCAAAGGGAGCAGCGGTGTGTGGAAAAGCGCACAACCAAGGCAAAGATGAAGTCGCTCAGGTTTCCGCGCCGTGGAGGATACCGAGCGCAGTGAGCGGAGAAACTAGGACATGCCTGGGTTTGGGTAGAGGAGAAAAGATTAAGGCGTTCATAACTGGGCCCGCAGTGAAAGAATGAAGTAAAGTATAAATTCTTCAGAAAAGGGAGAAGGAGTTTATGTTTCTGCCCCAAATCAGGTCCTGGGTGCGCGGAAGACTCCAATAGTCCAGGCGTTTGGAGAAGTGTTTCTACTCTTTGGGTATCTAGACAGTCCCCTGGGCCGCGCGCCCCTGGACTTCAGGCCGGCTGCACGCTCCTTCCGGCCAGGCCGCGCTCTCACCTGAGCTTCCGGAGCCCGCGGTGCCACCTCCGGTCCCCGCGGACGCTCCCGCTCCCGGCCCTCCGCCGTCGGCGGCGCACACAGAGCCGAAGACCTCGTACGCGGGTCGCGGCGGGATGATGCCGTTGGCGGCGGCCAGCGCCAGGCCCTCGGCAGTTCCGTAGAGCAGCTGCAGCTCGCGCGCCTCGTTCTCTTCCTGCGCCTGCTGCCTGCGCAGCGCCACCTGGGCCGCCATGACGCGCTGGCGCTCGGCGATGAGCGTGCACTTGGCACACAGGCAGTCCTTCCAGCGGCAGTAGCGTTTGTGGCCCTTGAGTGCCGACACCACGCCGTGGTTGCGGCAGCGCGCGCACTTGGGGGTCCTTGGGTACTTCTCAGCCGCCCGCAATAACAACGGCGGCGCCCGTAGCAAGCCGCCCGCCACGCTCACAGGTAGAGACGCGGCCGCCGCCGCCGCCGCGGCCACCGACGCCACCGACGCTACGGGCGGCCCCGTCGCTGTCGCCGCCGCCGTCGCCGCGCCGGGAACGCTGGGCAGCTCCGAGCGCAGCTCCATGGCAGGACCTGGCGTGGAAGACCGTGGGAAGGGGGTAGAGATGCGGTGAGGAGCGCACGATGCATTAAGCCAAGGAACCCAGGCTTAGAGAGGGAAATTTCGGCTGCGGAGTTTGGCTAGTGGTTGCCAAACTGCTGGGAGGAGGTGCCTTCGGAGCCCCCTCGTCAGGCCGAGCTCCCCCACCCCACTCCCACCAGAGCTCTTCTTGTATCTGATTTATGCGCTGGGCGTAAGACTTTGTTTAAATCGTGGCTAAAATATAAAAAAGTTTGAAAGTCATTGGCTTAGATAAATATAACGACTTGAAAAGTAAGATATTATCCCTAAAAGTTTAACTTAATTGGGGTGAGTCGGGTAGAGAAATGTTTGACAGGGCTCGGATTAAAGAGAAAAAATTTGACCCAAGAGTTAAACTGATGCCAAGAGAAAAACAGGAAACCCTGAGGCGAAATGTTCATTTTGTGGAAAGGTGAAGGAGAAAGATATCAAAGCTACAGTTTAGCTGGCTGGGCCAGGGGTTAGCTGGCTTGGATTTTTTGCTAGTGGGGATAGGGGATTTCGAGAGAAAACTCAGGAATAGAAAGAATAATTCTAGGAGCGAGGGCAGGGAAACAAACATCTCAGGTTTAAGGTTAGGCCGAGAGGTTCTGGGCCCCGTGCAGATGTGGGAGCTACAAGCTCCACGGTGCGGGCATCCAGAGAGCGGAGGAGAAAAATGGGTGTGAAGCTGAGTTTAGGAGGCCTGGGGAGGAGAATTAAAGAGAAAATGCAACCGCAGAAACTGGACAAACAAACCCAACCGGAAGATTAATTTGGGGGGCAAGAAAAGCAGCTGATGGGGGTGTATGGGATAAAGGCGTGCGTGAGAAACAAAACAAAAATAAAAAACAGCCAAATGCTGGGGGTGAAGACGGAGTAGGACCTGTGGCACAATTTTTAGCTTTGTAGCCTGAAAGGTAGTCCGGAAGGAAAAAGTATCTCTCTGAAAGTTAGGTACTGCAGGAGGAAGATCTTTCTCGCTGACATCCTGCAGTGTTCCCACCCCCTCCGGGTTTAGGTTGAGTGGTCAGACACGCCCTCCTCATCCTGGGGCCCCGTGGGACCCCGGCGGCACAGATTCCTGCGTTCTGGTCGTGAGTTGCGTTCCTAGGCCTTGGATGGCCCAGCAGGCGGCACCGGGACAGGGCAGTCGCTTCTGGAACTCGCTACGAGCGAACACCAGAAGGCCCAAGAAGGCCCAGCTCTGAGCTTCTACCAGCGGCCTTCTCTGGGTCCCCAGGTCCCCGCCAGAGCCCAGACCGAACCTTGGTGTCTCCGCCCGAGAACCCTAGACCCCTCCCTGTTAGAGCTGTCTCTTCCCTCAGGCCCTTGGGGCCGCGCAGTCCCTAAGGCCGGCGTAGCCGGGGCCTTGTCAACAGGGGCCGCACGCCCGGCCTCCTCCCTTGCCCTCCCTGTGTCCCTTAACTACCTGCCTTGGGCTCGGGGATCGTCCTCCTCTGCTGGCGCTGCAAGCGCCTCCCAGCTCCGCTCGCGACGCTGGCGCTCTTGGCCTCTTCCCCTTGCCCCCGGCCCCTTATCTGACCACGTCACCCTCCTTCAGTCACCATGTCCGAACTTCCGGACACCCTCAGAATGCTGCGCAGCAACCCTTCCGTCGGAAATCTGAGCGGGGGGACCGGTTAGGGACCCACTGGCTGGAACCGCGACCTGGCCCTTGCTGCGCGGCGTCCCCTCGCACAGCGCACTGGACGCTGCGCACAGCCGCGCCCCAGTTGCCCGGCGCTGCCAGACTCTCAATGAGCCGCTCGCCCGCTCTATTGTTGCTCCTTAGGGCTCCATTAGACAGAATTGGACAACAATGTGGCGTCTGCCATTGGCCAGGGGAGGCAGACGGCGCTCTGATTGGCCGGGCCCGCGCCCGGGGAGCCCCGCATTCTACAGTGTCCGAAAGATTCGAAACTCCAAAAGCTCCACAGAGTGTTAGGGGAGGGGAGGGGGCGCGCCAGGGAAGGAATGGAAAAAAGTGGGCTTGGAGGAGCGTTGAAAATACCGTGACAAGGAGTTTCCGTGCGCCCAAGAGCGTGTGAATTGCGCCTAATTACCGTGTCCGGCGCGCCTTTACGTAGCCGTCTGTAACCCCTCTGCTTCTGGGGCACGGGCTCGGCTGAGAGGCTCTCACTGGCCGGGAGCGCTTGGCAAGGCCGAGCTTCCCAAGTGGCCCTGCAGACTGGGGGCGGGATGGGGGCAGGTGACAATTCAATTACCACGGTTGGAGTGGGGGTGGAACGGGGCACGGGGGTGGGGAAGGGAGGGTTCATATGGCATAAATGCCAAGACGATTTTTCCTTCCTCCTTCGGCTCTGTTTCGACGTGCTCCGAAGTCCGACGCGTTTGGGGTAATCGGGGGCTGCTTGTTTTGATATTTTTCCCCTGCCACTTTCAAAGTGCAAGTCCTTTATTTTAAAAGTCCTGATACGATAGGCTTCACGGAGGGTAAGTGTGGTTTATGAGGATTTTGTTTTTAAAGAGGAACCCGGAGAGATGAGATTGCGCTTCCTGGCGGCGCCCGCCGGGTTCCCAACGCTCCGCGCCTTTCCTCTCCCCGCCTCCCCTCACCCCCCAATCCCGTACCTGTGGCCCCTCTTGCTCTTTGCTCTCCTCTCTTCTGAAGCATCTCCATTTCTTTTCCCTAGTGGCGGGATTCTTTTTGTTGTCCTTGTTTTAAATTAACGAACAGTTTGATTTTTTTAAAACTAAAGTAAAAAGTGGCCTGTCTCCCCAGATCCTCCTGGACGCGTGACGCACAGCCGTCTGTACGTCCTTCCGCCCAGACCAGGTCGCTGCGGGCCCCCAGGAGTACTACTAACTTTCGCCTTACTCTCTGGGCCTGACGTCACGACCCCAGGAGCCGCTTGATCTGCGGAGGAGGTAACAGGCTTAGGGTTTGGTTTCCCTTTGAATGGCAACATCTGGAGTTAATGCTGCGGTCCTCTGACGGGATCGCCCTGGGTTTCCTCTAGCTGTTATTCTCTGTGCCTTTTCTTTATGTCCTTTCCTCCTTTAAATTTGTTGTCTTTTATTTTTATTCTCCAGTTTCATCTATCTCCCTCAAAGTAAAGAAAATTCGTTTAATTAATGAGAAAAAAACGCGTTTTCCCGTTGTTCTGCTTCCACTCCCTACCGTGTGTTTCCGCGTTGCTTTCTAGCACCTCGAGAGCCACGGGGTTCTGGCCCGCGCCGTGTGGCGCGCGCACATACTGGGCCAGCAGACACTGCCAGGGGCCCTCGGGACGCACCCCTTCCACCTGGCACGACTACGGGGCTGTGTCCTGCCAGCCCAGCCGCCTTTGGAGATTGGAGAAAGAAGGGCTCAAGAAGAGGGGATCCGCGGGTTCCTCCAAGAAGTCGACCGCGAGAGCCCATCTGGAGGGTGTGGGTGGGGAGAGAGCGAGGACAGAGGGCTGTGCTGCAGAGCCTGGCGAAGAGCTTCCAAAAAGTTGACCAGACTCGCGCGCAAGCGCCCTCCGACCCGGACGGAGTGTGTGGTAGAAACCGGCCATTCGATCTTAGTAAATTCCACTCGCTGGTACCTGAGAATCTGTGTGGGAAAGAGCCAGGGGTCAGTTTCTCCCGCGTGGAGGGAGGGTGAGGGAGTGAGTCTGGATAATGTCTTGCAGGAGCGTAGGATTCGGACCTACTTTCCAACACCTTGAGGTTATTAAGTCAAAGAAATCTATTTATAACTCCATCCTGGCGGGGTAGGGCTGGGGAGGGGAGAGGACCGCGGCAGCATACCTCTTCGGGGCTGCCAGCGTCTCCTCCCAGAGCCCTTGGACAAAGTTTTTGAGACACGTTTACGCCTTAAACGAAATGAACTATAGAAACCCGCCTTGTCTTTCGGGGTGGTGACCGAGCATCCCTCTTCGCGCTTGAGGCCAGGCCATGTGAGGTTCCCCACTCCGCTGGAGTGAACCTGAGGGAGCCAAACGTCCAGCCTCGGGTCTTGGGAACGCCGAGCTCTCTCCTGTTAGTGTGGAAGGAACCTCAGACACATCCCGGAACCCAGCTCACCCAAAGGGAATCTGCCCCCCCCCATAGAGCAGGCTTCTCTTTTTTCCTCGTGTTCACAGGCTAGCAAGTCCGGGACCCGCAACGTTTCTTCTAATGCTGCTGAGGTTGAGTGCTCACGTGGCTGAATGTGTCATCGAGGGAGGTAAAGTAACTTAGTCCTGGGTAGAGGTCACTACACGCACACCCCCACAGGCCACCCCAGGGCTAGTTCTGATCTGGACTTAGGTCGCTGAGAGGCTGGCTTGGCCGAACCACCAGCGGCGGAAGAGCATACCCAGATCGAGGTGGCGGGAGCTACCGCCCTAGACTAACACGAGTGTGGCTTCCCTTCTGGACACACAACCTGCACGTATGACTTCATTCCGCAAAAGGCGTGGACACACCCTCACACCTACATGCCGTGATAGCCCACGGGGTGTAATCACCTCTCTAGCCACCCTCCCACCCAAGAGGACCCGTACAGGAAATTTCATCGGCCTTAGAGTGCTCTCAGAAGCATGCCTCATCCTAGGACATCCACTTGGTTTGTGACCTCATCCAGACGCCCACAGACTCCCACCTCCCTGACTGAACTTCCAGATAGGAGAATATGCTCGCGCCCGGGTGCCTGCGCCAGTCCAGGGACCGAGCCTTACTCCAGGGCCCTGCGGAAGGTGGACCCCAGGCAGAGAAAACCAGATCTCCAGGACAGATGAGACACGGAGGGCAGAAAGCCCGTCCTCACACAGTCACACACGCGCACACTCACTCGGGCATCTCCTTTTAGTTCAGAATCATTTGCTGACGCCCCTGCTGTGCCAGTGGCCGGAGGCCCCGGGTGAGCGCTTTCAGCCCAGCCGCGAAAACCCACCTCCACCCATGTTTGTTACTGGCCGCTCCCTCACGCCCCGCCCAGGCAGGGATGGCCCTCATGGAGACCCGGGGTGGGGCTGGGGTTAGGGACAGAGGGCGCGGAGGGGGGCTGGAGGGGGGCGCAGCGGCACTAGGAGCAGGGCCGGGGGCGCTGATGTGGGACCCGGGAGGCATTGACTTTTGCGCTGTTTGCCTGTGGCCTCCAAGCAAGGATACGCCATCTGTTTGCCGGCTGCGGCGCGTCCCTTTTAATTACCCTCCCCGCAGCCTAATAGAGATGATATTAAACTAAATCTTTCTGACATTAAAAGTAATTATCCCCAAACCAGTGGCTCCGGGACAGAATCGTCCCTCCCATCCCCACCCCTCCCCTGGCCACTCCAGATTCCGTTAGTTTGACTGAAACTCTTTACCCGGAAGGGGGGTGCGGAGAAAAGGGGGAAGGTGTCATTGGGAGGAGTCCACGCGGGCTGCCCGGCACACGCTGTTTCCCGCACAACCACACGTTCGTACGCATGAAACACGCGGGTGCACACATACACCTGAACATACACAGACACAACAACATTTTGCTGCACATCAGCTCTGGAGCCGTGTTAAGACTCCCAGCCGCGCGCACCCCGGTGGACAGGGAGAAGCGCAGCATGGTTGCTGTTCTCGGCCCCGAGTCGCTGCAGGATCAAAACCCCAAATCGGGCCTAGGGCAGGCCGCGACTCAGTCACAATTTTGCGGCCAGAAGGAGCCTCTCCCGTCGAGGCGCTTGACCTCCCGGGCCCTTTGCTTATGAGGGCCCTGAGCCTCGCGCTTCCCTGCAGGTCGCACCACACTCTGCGAGCCAAGTCCCCTTATCCCACTTGACAGGTAAGAAGAGACCCAGAGAGGTGAGGTGACTTGCTCCACATTACACGAGTACGCAACAAAGACAGAATCCCACCCCCGGAGTAGCATGGAGACCCGCGCCCAAGGCCCAGGTTCTGCCCGGTTCATGCGCGCTCTGGGGTTGGGGGCGGCGGACGCAGGGCTGGCCTCAGGTCCCCATCCACACGCTCACACTCACCCTCCGGGGGCTCGGGACCTGCTGGTGATCAGCGTTTTCCCGGGTCCTCGGCCGCCACGGGACGAGGGGGCGAGGAGTGAGCTAAAGGCGCTGGCACGAGGGCACCGGCGCTGGGAACACGGCGGGAACCCCAACGCGGAGCCCCTGCGGCCGCAGCCCTTTGGATCAAGCCGGGGAGTCTACAGGGTGGGCGGGAGAAGCGGCCGCCCAGTGTCGCGCCGGCTACCTATCTCCACAACTTTCTTGTTGGGCGCGTCTGAACCTGGGACAAACTGCGCGGAGAGTGCGCCCAACGATCTGTTTCTATTTTTTGAGCACCTACTGTGTACCCACCCTCTGATGTGTGCTGTCTTGCTTGGTACACAGTCCTCAGGGGGGAGTGTGGCGTTCCACGTTTCAGAGAAGACCAGTCGACTACAGTTCTGAGTGGGGATGCAACTAGCCAGGGGGACACAGTGCTGCTGAACCCCGAGGAAGATAGGAATCCAGATATGACTCCCACTTCTCACCCTCAGTTCTGAGAGGGTGTGATCAGACCTATGGGCTTTCAGTCCATTGATTCTATTCAATTCATCGACCATTCACGGAAACACGAGAGAATGTGTCATTCATTCACTCATTTTTTCATTTCACTTCTGCTGAGCACTTAGTCAATGCAGGGTCCTGAGGACTGGAGACCCCTCCCATAAATCGTAAACCTCCCATAAAGAGCTTGTCAACCAAGTAGGGACTCAGTCACCCACCAGAGACCTCACAGTGAGAAATGGGATGAAGTAGGAGTGGGGAAAGGAGGTTCAAAGGA